AGGCTCCTGTGGTGATCAGCAGAGACCACCATGATGTCAGTGGCACAGACAGTCCTTTCAGAGAGACCTCTAATGTCTACGACGGATCTGCCTTCTGTGCAGGTTTGTGCAAGTCCCCGAGTGAAGAATGCAACAACTTTACCACAAATATATAAAGATATCTGAAAAAAATCTTCTTCCTAGACATGGCTGTGCAGAACTTTGTTGGTGATGCATTCAGGGGAGCCACATGGGTGTCTCTGCACAACGGTGGTGGTGTCGGCTGGTAAGACATTTTAGGTATTCACTCCAAGGTGCAAATATTATTTGTATACAAAAATATATATATACATATATTTCTATATATGTATATATATATATATATATATATATATAATTTGTATTTCTTTAAAATGTATTGATTAGAGTTATGTGTGTATACATAATTATACATTTATACTTTTAAATGTATTTATATGTAAACATTCTAAGTTTATAAATAGTTGTTTAAAAGAATGACTAAATGAGTGTCAGCATATTATTGCATTTTCATTTGTTCATTCATAAAGTGCACTTACTTTTGCCACTTAGGGGAGAAGTAATGAATGGAGGTTTCGGCTTGTTGCTGGACGGCACAGAGGAAGCGGCCCGGCGTGCCAGGCTGATGTTGAACTGGGACGTCTCTAATGGGGTGAGTCTCTGTTGCAGCCTCTCCTCAGGAGCTCAGATGAGCGTTGAGTAAGAATGTCTGTTCTGCAGGTGGCCCGTCGCTGCTGGTCTGGAAACACAAATGCTTATGAAACTATTGAGAGGACCATGGAGGACCAGAGGCAGCTGCGTGTCACCATGCCCTTCCCTGTGCAGGATGAGAACGTGTTGGAGCGAGCGCTGCAGGGCTGAGCAGCAGAACTCACAGGTTTACAGTCAGTGGAACCTGTTGGTTTGATCATTGTGGAGCCTGTGTTATTTAAATATTAAAATGAATATTCATTGAGTTAGTTCACAGATCAGTGCATGTATGAATGTGTAGCAGCACGACTGGAGTTACAGAACTGAACTAAACCATGAGCCTTTTTTTGGAAATGTGATACACTGACAATAAAATTCTAACAACCACACCACTGCTGAGTCAAGTATTGCTGATGGTTATATTTAATTTTAAAAAAATATTTTCATATTTTTATTTTAAGCTTATAGTTAATCTTCACCTGGAGCACTAAACAGACTAATTTATAATTTACTTTTGCCGTAGTTTGTGGTCTTCGCAGAAGGAATACAGTTACTAAAGAATTTTAAAATTGTCTTCACAGAAGCAGCAGTCTAGATTTTTGCATACTTGTAATCAGAAAGTATATTTCCAAGAAGTAAGAAATGGATTACTGAGGAATTTTCCAAAACATTCATTAAAAATTAAACCATATATTACCTACCAAAGTGCAGGCCGACCTCAGGTCCTCAGTCAGTCTGGTCCATGTGTGAGGTCTATAGACGTAGAAAGATATATTTAAATGAAAAAAATATATCTTTAAAAAAATGTAAAAATACAAATATATATATATATATATATATGAATGCAGCCAATATTATAATCTGTACTTACCAGTGGTGGTAGGTCTGAGACAATAAGGAACAGTCAGCTCAATCTGAAATGTCATAAAATAAAAAATCTATAAAAAAATAAATAATAAATAATGTCTTATTGACGTTTCATGTACTTTAAAGAGCTGAGACAAAAAAAACCACATGATTTTGATTCACTCAGAATCAGCTGCGTCACAGACGGTTTGATGAAATCATACTTCCACTTCAGCAGTGGTTTTCTTAAATAAATGTAATAATAAATAATGTAAACATGTGCTTTTTAATCATCACAAATATACATTTCGTAATTTCTTCTCTTTTTTTGTCTTATGTGGTGGATGTTCGTAATAATAACACAGAGCTGGGGAAAAAATACCAAGTATAAACCAGATTAAAAATCAACTCTAATTTATATTTCAATAATAATTTCAACAACTCTCATTTCATTTTCTCATTTTTTTTTTCTTCCCTATAAAATCCGCGCCGTGTCGCTGTCTTGTTTCTTTAAGGAAACTGTATCGGTGTGTGTGACTGGATGGAGGATGACGTCAAGGGTTGGAGGTTGTTGTAGTCTGCGGGAGGAGGCGGATAACGGTGCTGGTGGAGCAGGCTGGACACGGGATCATTTGTTGAGCGTGGTTCTCCACCGACCTCCCATGAACCGTATGTTCCCCAGATTTCTCTCATGTTCTCCAGCTGAGATCTCCGCCCTCTTCCTCTGCACCGGCGCCTCTCCAGACTCCTTCCTCTTTTTCTCCCCCGATCACTGTGGAGTGACTGTGGAGATGTTCCATCGGATGGTGCCAAACACTTCTTCTGGTCAAAAACAGACGGATTAAGAAAAAAAAAACAAAAAACACTCAACATCGTCCGTGGAAATGACTTGAAGACTTTCTGCTTTGCCACACAGAGTTGTTTTTTTTTCTTTCTTTCTTTTCTTCAGAAAAGGAAAATATGAATCACGTCCAGGATCAGAACGAGGAGGAGCAGCCGGGAAATCCGATTACTGCGCAACAGGGGACAGCGCACCACAGTGGCTCCCACAGCCAGGGCAGCAGTCTGGGCTGCGGCCTGACTGAACTGCAGCCTCCCGCCGGCTGCAGACCGGAGTTCAGGAGGAACGCGGTGACAGACGACTATAAGGTCACAGCCCAGGTCCTGGGCCTGGGCATCAACGGGAAGGTGCTGGAGTGTTTCTGCAAGAAGAGCGGGGAGAAGTGTGCCCTCAAGGTGTGTGTATGTGTGTGTGTGTATATGTGTGTGTGTACAGTAGGCTGTCACTGTCAGACAATAGAGGAGCAGCCATCAATTATTTAAATGTTCTTGTTATAGTCTTTGTCCCCTTTCTGCTCCATACATAAGGAGGTCACGTGTATAACATTAAGAAGTTTTCATTGGCAGGAACACACAAAAATATTCAAATACTATATATAAAAATACTAAGATAATAGAATCATTTCAAGTAAGGGATTGTGTTTCAAAAAGATTTATATTTGTACTCATCGCCTACTGCAGTGTTTTCCATTCTTTTTTGAGCCACAAGAAAAAAATCTCATAAAAAGTACATGTAATGAAATATAATAATCCTTTAGTTTAAATTTACTAACATAGTGTGAAATCTCGGCTTGTACTCACAGGAATTGAAGAAAGACACGCAAAGATCTTCCTCTTCAACAGCTTTGATTCTCATTTTCATTGCCATCTGCTGCCATCTAGTGGAAGAAAATGTAATTGTTCTGCCCTGTCACTGCATTCATAAACAAACAAACAAAATATTATTTGCAACAAATAAATAGACCATTTTCCCCGGCACGCTAGTGGGCCACGGCCCTGAGGTTGGGAATCAGTATTCTACTGCTTATATTTATGAGGCCTGTAGTGTGGATGGAGCCCATCCCAGCAGTTGGGGGGTGGGGGGAGTGACCATTCACACTCACATTCACACCTACGTTCAATTTAGGGTGTCCCCCCTTCTGCCCCCCCCTTGGTAAACACCAGGTGTAAAAGGAACTCTTCTGACCGAATGTATTTCTTCGTTCTCACAGTTCTTTCTTGTGAACTTCTCTTCAGGCCTTGAGACACTGTTGATTTAAGACACATGTCAGTGTTTAGACAAAGCACTGGCTGAGGTTTTTTTTTTTTTTTTTGCATGCCTCTGCCTTGTACTTCTACAGTACCATGTGTTCTGTATCAGTTCTTATTTTAACGTCCAAGTTCCACAGTTTTCGTCCTGTTCCTTTCACTCGTATATTTATCTAATTTTTTTTTAAGGCCGAACACGAACTCTAGTTAAACATTAGGCCAAAAGTTCTACATTTACAACGTCCATTTTGAAATGTGTGATGACAGGATATATTTGGTTTTGTAAAAATAAAATAAAGAGACTTCTGTAAATGTGAGGGCAGTAAGTTAGGCCAAGCAGAACAGTTTAGAAAACCTACTGTAAGAGAGGCTGCTGTAGTTGAGGTCATAGGTCACAATCTGGATACCAGCTGTGGACCAGTGTACAGTGACCTCTTTTGAACACTGGTCACCGTGTGACGCAAGTTTGGCTCCGTGAATAATGGCTATTTAAAATGTAATTTAAAACAAACAAATCAAAAATCCAGCCTCTGTGAGAGACCTTGGTTTTCCATCAGCTACTGTATATAAAACAATCAAATGTCTCGGGACACGTTACAGCCCGACCTCTCACATACACATCAAATAGTTTGGACACAGACGTGTTAATGAGGAAATAAATGCTGACATATAGAACACTGAGTCCTAACCTCACATGACTTCACTGTAAACAACTGTGATGTAACAGCGTGGAACGTTAACGTCCTCACTTTCCTTTCTGCACCGCAGTAGTGGAGTGAACACGATAAAAGGTTCTGAGTTCTGAATTTCAAACCTTATTTTGTGATGTGTAGATCACAGTACAACAACAACAACAACAACAAAAAACTACAGCTATTTAAAAAGTAATGTGCAGTGAGTACACACAGGAAGTAGCTGTGACACCAGGGAGATTCAATAAGTATGAGCAACAAATTAAAGCCTCGGAGAAATGAAGGACAAACTAAAACAGTTCAATAGGAGCCTAAAACAAAATATGGAAAAAAAAAATACTGGTCAAATATTTAACATTACAATAGGAAATAATGTGTGTTTTATATACTATCTACACACAGAATTCAGTTAAAATCCCAGAATACTAGGGATGTCCGATATTAACTTTTTGCCAATATCTGATATGCCAATATTGTCCAAACATTCTGATATCAACCGATACTGATATAGGCTGGTAATATTTATTTATTAATCCGTACAAACCACTGTATGAGTATGAGATTAATTAAATGAGCTGTAATGCTGCCATCTAGTGACGCTCAATTTAATATACAACCGTTTATCCCCAAAACAGGCATTGCGTTATCGGGTTTTCATTATTTGAGGAAAAACCGATTTTTATATTACATATTACATCTTATATTAGATATTATATGATATGCTAATATCGGGGCGATAATATCAGACATTCCTACAGAATACTACAAATATTTAACTCCATTTTTCCAGTTACATAATTTTTGTGTCACTGATGTGGAATTCTGCGGATGTCACAGTGACGTGTGTGTAAATGTTGTTTGTTAAAAACAGATTCTTCGCTGGAAACTCTTCACAGCGCTGGTATCTGAGCTCTTATCTCCTTCCATTCTCATGACTTACTCCTACTGTCGTCCTCCCATGTCATGATTGATCTCTGCTGTGGGACTAGTGCAAATACATTTACAAAAAAAATAATAAAGGAATGTGTCTGTGGGGAATTTAACCTCTGAATCTCTGTGAATTCCATGTCGGAGATTTTACTTCAAATATGAAGCAAATATCAAAATGAAAAGCGTTGATAGCTGAACAGACGCAGTGAGTGTATTTTCCCAGGGGTAGGCGCTGTGCCTGTGTGTTTATTGATTTCTTTGTGAGAAAAAAATCAATGAAGCCGTAGATGAAAATGCCTGTATTAAGAGCTGCTTTTAGAGCCGTTTAATGAATACCGTTTTGATGAGTTCCTGTGTCTGTCTTCGGAGCAGATTCTTTACGACACTCCCAAAGCCAGACGGGAGGTGGAGCTGCACTGGCGTGTGTCCGGTGGACCTCACATCGTCCGGATCCTCAGTCTGTACGAGAACGTGCACAAAGGGAAGAAATGTCTGCTCATTATAATGGAGTGGTGAGTGTCGCAGTTGATATTATGTATTATATTTTTTATATTATATTATAATAAATTATATTATATTTTTTAATATTATTGTTTCCCAAAGACTGGGTCGCAGCCCTTAGGTGGGTCACGAGAATTTTTTTTGGGTCGTCTCCCATCATGTTTCCCAGGAGTTTACGAATAATTTCTATTGACTTGGGTCGCGAAGCTTTGTGACTTTTAAAATATTGGTCCTCAGAAAAAAAGTTTCAAACACAAGAACCTCTTTTTTATATGACTATGGTTCTTTTCACACTGATTCAGAAAACTTTCGTCCCAATAATTTCCTCAACAGCTACTAATTTTGAGGTCGGTCCAACATAGACCTCGGAAAAATGTTTTCAAACAACATTTGTTTTTAATTCAGTAAAACAGTTTATAAATCTGAGCTTTAGTTTCACTACATTCTGATGTAAAGATGACGTTGGTTTTAGTCTAAACCAAAACCATCGGCGCAGGACGTGACTCAATACACGTTTGAACAGTCAATACAGTGGATGGGCACAATGTGTTCCTTTGTGATGAATCCATAAAGACAGGGTTAAACCAGGACACCCCCATGCCTCCCCCTTTCTCCCCCTTCTCTCTCTGTGTGTTAATCTTGTGTCAGTATGGAAGGAGGGGAGCTCTTCAGTCGCATTCAAGCCCGAGGGGACCAGGCCTTCACCGAGAGAGGTGAGCTGGAGGATTACTGTTCCCTCTAGTGTCTCAGTACTGTAATATCTGTGTTTTTACCAAAAACAAATCTCACATATAATAATCCTTTAGATTAAATGTACTCACAATTTACTAACTCACTGTGAAAGCTCGGCCTGATTGGTTGAAAACAACACTGATGTACTCACAGGAATTGAAGAAAGACAAACATGAAGATCTTCTTCAACTGCTGTGTTTCTCCTTTTTTTAGTTTTCATAGCCATCTGCTGCCATCTAGTGGAAGACAAACAGAAAAAATTATTTGCAATATATAATAGTTTTCAGGCTAATTAAGTCACAGCTGTGGCAAACCTAATGACCTCTCAGTGTTTGGGAATCCCTGCTCTACACGGTTTCCTCAACTGCTCCTGTCCATGCCCTGTTTGTCCACCAGAGGCGTCAGAGATCATGCATGACATCGGCACAGCCATCGGGTACCTGCACCACATGGACATCGCTCACAGAGATGTGAAGGTACAGATACTGTACATGCAGGAAAAGGTCACAGGTCGTAATCGGACCCATTTCTAAAACAACAAAAACAATGTAGGAAAAGGTCACAGGTCGTAAACGGACCCATTTCTAAAACAACAAAAACACTCGTTTGTCACAACAGCCTGAGAACCTGCTGTACACAACCAAGGAAAGCAACGCCACGCTAAAGCTGACCGACTTTGGATTCGCTAAGGAGACGACGCTGCACAACTCCCTCCAAACGCCCTGTTACACCCCGTATTACGTCGGTCAGTGAGTCCTGATGTTTCTGACTTTTGATTCATATCGTAAGCTATAACTGGATTGAACTGGTTTTGTTTAGTATCTATAGAGTGGTGACACATTTACATTGTCCATGTGTGTTTGTATGTCTGTCCTTCATTCTCCATGTCTGTGTGTTTTTTTCCTGTATGTGTTTGTGCATTCAGCCCCAGAAGTGCTTGGGCCAGAGAAATATGACAAATCATGTGACATGTGGTCTTTGGGTGTAATCATGTACATTCTGTGAGTATGATGTACGTCTCTTTGAACTCAAGCAAATGTCGTGTTTTTTTAATAGAAAAGTTGACTTGATTTTTTTATCAGCTAAAGACTAAGATCAAGTATCTTAAAATATATTTTTTAATTTACATTAAAGGAAAAAAACAATCAAAGAGCAACAATTCTGTTGAATTGCTTTTGGAATTTTAGTTTCCACTTAAATTTGTTTAAAACAGATCTAGACAACAAAGCCTAAAAATACATTGACAAACCAAGTCCCTGCTGGCCACCAGTAGTACTGCAGTTAGAATGCCTTTGTTAGCTACACTATGACTGTTTACTATTAAGACTTGTCCTGTAACTGCCTCGTTGTTGGACTGGACTATGAAGTGACTCTGTCGTCTCCTCTGTTTTCCAGTCTGTGTGGGTTTCCTCCGTTCTACTCCAACACAGGTCAGGCCATTTCCCCAGGCATGAAGCAGAGGATCAGGATGGGACAGTACGAGTTCCCCCACCCTGAGTGGGCTGATGTTTCTGATGAAGGTGTCACTTTGATTCCAATTGTTTTTTATCATTACGACTGCATGATTTCAGTGTTTTTCAAAAATATGGTCAATGTTTCATCATGGTACGCTGGGAAATCTGAATTTTAAACTGCAGTTTCAAACTTATTACACAGTGTGACTTTTGACTCGTAAAGTGTAAAATGTAAAAAAAAAAAGATAATATCTCAATTATTTATGTTCCTCTGTAGCCAAACAGCTAATTGTTCAGCTGCTGAAGACAGATCCAAATGAAAGGATGACTATTGGACAGTTCATGAATCATCCCTGGATTAGCGTAAGTTCATACTTTACCGTTTTCCCGTAGCTGAAGATTTGTTCTTGTCGGGTTGTCTTCACCTCTGCTCGTCCTGTCTCTGTACTGCAGCAGTCAATGGTGGTCCCTCCGACCCCCCTCCACACCTCACGTGTCCTGACCGAGGAAAGGGAACTGTGGGATGACGTCAAGGTAAAAATCGTTAATGTCATAATTCATCTCTTATAGTAAGCTGTTTAAAAATTTTATTAACCTGGAATTATCAGATAGTGCCACAAGATGGCAGTAAAAAAATAATATTCACAGATTGGGAATTCTTGTTTTGTTTTTTACAGGAGGAAATGACCAGTGCCCTGGCCACCATGAGGGTGGACTACGACCAGGTGAAGATCAAAGACCTGGACACGTCCAACAACCCGCTGCTCAACAAAAGACGAAAGAGACCCGCCTCTGGAGGAGCCGATCGAGCAGGACAAGCCGAGACGCAAGAAGCGAGTGGAGGAGCGGTGTGTAACAGTCACAGAGAGGTGACGTTTTCAAAAGAGGTTCAATAAAAGTCTGCTGTATTTTCTCACCTTCTTCTTCTTCTTCTTCTTCTTTTTTCACTATTGTATTTTCCATAATAATTGGCTTTTTTATATTACTGTACGCATCAATGTCATGAATGTCACTTATTTTCATGTGCAGTGGTTGTATATTTAAAATAAAACATTTTTATGGTCTACAGCAGGTGTGTTGTGTCAATTTTGTTGAAGGTTAAGTGGTATATTTGATGTGTAATCCATTGTTTATATATATATATGGATATAAATATATCCATATATATTATACTGTGTAGGGTACTGTCCCTGAAACTCCCTGATGCCATGGCTCTGCACTAAATAAAATACTGGTAAATTAAACTTGTTGAGAGCTCTGACCCTGGCCTAGATTCTCAAATATCATTAGATGCTTTTATTCTAAAGTTTCTAAATGGTTCATTCTAGGTCAGCAGTGTCTCTGAGGAACAGACCTAACATGTTTCTACAGAAGGTTTTTGTTTTCCTTATATTAAATCTTATTATATGCAGCCCATATATATATATATATATATACACCAACTGTTTATAAACTATAAGCCAAAATGTTGGCACGTTCTACCTTTTGTGAAGCTATTTGTTTAAAAGTTAGCCTGCTCTGTAAATCAAAACTAGTTCTCCCCTGGGTTTGTGACGTCACTCTGCTGCTGTCCTCAAACGACACACGAATGATCACAGTTGCAGACACTACTTCCTGTACACAATACGTTAAAAATGTGAACGCCTCGTGCACGTACAGGCTCTCTCTATTTCTCTCCCCCCCTACGCCCCCTATCTCTCTCGGTCTTTCCTCCCTCCCTCCCTTTCGGTGTCTCTCTCTCTCTCTCTCTTCATTCATTGCCTCTGTCAGTGCCGTGTTGTTGACATACTCACTCCTAGGCAAGAAGAGGAGGCTGGAACCCGGGACCATGAGGGGTTGCTGCCGCCCGAAGAACGCGCGCGACAGGGCAGGTAAGACAGCAGAGACCCCGGCAGCGACCTCTCTGTTTTGCGGTAGTTTTGACACTATTGTATGTACATGGGTCTAGTAGCTGGGCTAACAGGCGGAAGAGGTAAACAAGACTGGGTCACGTAGGCTGCGCAGCACTGACTCTGTACCGAGGGAAAGCTGCGACCAACACGCACGGACACTGATGTTGATATATATTTATATACTGTATATAAATATGTTGATAATGAGACTGGGTTCTTTCGTGACTGTTTTATTACTAAACAGAAAAGAGCTGGTTGTGTTTTACCGTCTATCCGGGACAGTTGTTCTCTGTCTGCAGCTGCAGCTGCTGATCTATTCGCTCTCTGCAAGAGAGAAAGAAAAAACAAAACACACATTTGCATATTGGAGAAAAAACAAAACACACATTTGCATATAATTCTGTTTGTTGTTTACTGTCACACTGCTCTCCAGTGGTGTGCATACCGTGGTGATGAAGCTGTTACTGCCTGTGAAAACTTGTGATGCTCAGATGTTTGTTTTTTTTACAGCCAGACCTCAGGGGCTGGTTTTATGAACACATGTCCCTGAACTTTTGCTCGACCATCGTTTACATAAAAAATCACGGTCTTTTTCCATTTGTTAGTCACTGGATATAAGCTGTAAACTGACACATATTTGATGTTTTTTTTAATTATTATTATTTAAGGAGTAACTCAGTAACTCCATGGTGAGAAATGACCAGTACTATGTTGGTATTTGTTGGTATAAAGTCACATAAGTTACTAGTTGCTTTAGGCTAAATTCTAACAGCTGCCAAGATCTTTATCACCTTTTCCTTAAAATCAAATCATTAAGTGAAACTAGTGATTTAGACCTTTTTACCATGAACATTTCAGTTTACTCTAGGATAAACAAATGGATGCCAGTTGTTTTAGGACAGTCGTGTACAGTGGTACTTCCTGTCTTCATCGATGATTAAGTGTCGAAACCGGATGTTGCAGATGTTTGGCCCATTTGTTGTGGGTTATGGCACCCACTGATAAACTGAGGTAAATAATATATAAAATACATATGTAGCAATATAGAAATCGATCTTTCATTTGCCCTCATTTTATTTTTTTTCATTGTTGTCCTAAAACAGATACTTCGGCCCTAAACAGCCAGAGCCTGAGTCGCTATGACAATAGATCATTTGCTAAGTGTGTTAGCCACGCAGCTTTGGTTTTTCAGTGTTGCCATGTTGATGGAAGCAGTGCTGAGAAGAGAAGAAAAAAACACCTACTGTGTTATAAATATGGTCGTCGTCGTAAATGTCTTCAGCCCCAGCTTTAGGCAGCAGAGGTACGAGGGTTGAACAGGGCCGCGGCTGAGTCGACGTTCGTCTCTGGTTGTCTGCCTACACACAGGAAGCTAGGGTCAATGGATGAGCAGATAGACAGCAGAATAAACACAGTGATTCTGTTGGAAAATATAAATATATACTGTATATACAGTGTGATGCTGCAGGGAGATGTGAGAACATCCTGGGAGCAGAATCTGATGCAGTGGTTTGAAACCTGCGTTTTTGTTATTATTATTATTATTATTATTATTATATTGGCTGATGTTGGTGTTTTTACATGTGTATCATCAGTGTCTCTCATCCATATCTAGCAGCCTCCTCTCCTGCATCTCTTTTTGTGGCTGTGCTGTGTGTGCGGGTGTGTTTTTCTCCCTTCCTCTCTCCCTCCCTCCCTCCCTCAGTCTGCTCTCGATCTGGGGGAAAGTTCACCGCTCACACAGAATCTCATTACAGGCTTCAGGCAGGGCTGTAGCCTACGTGTTTGACGCTGGTGTTGTGGCGCGCATGCGCTCTGCGCTGTTACAGCCAACACACGAGAGGGTTTTTGGAACCGATGCTTGTGTTGTGTATTTATTGTTGTGTCAACACTTCTTTGTTGTGCAGGAATGAAACGTGGCAGGTATCGTGTTTAACACAGTCGTCCAGCTCTTTTTTTTTGCAGTTTGTGAAACACCTCATTAGGAATTTTCAATTGTAAAGAATTGTTCAGAAGTTATTGTCAAAATGCTCCGACTGAGAGCAATAATCACAATTAAATGTCAGTCAGTAAAAAAAAAAAAAAAAATAGTCAAGATGAACTCTCTGAACCTTTCATACCCAGATCACAGTTTTCGGGCTTTTCTTGAAATAGATCTTTGTCGTCTGACACCATGTTAAAAAGTTACACTTTTTTTGCAGTAGTTTTTTCGCTCTGCAATAATTATCATATTGATATATTATAATAAATGTGGATTTAGATTTGGTCATATTTTAGTTCCTGGCTTTACTGTAAGGTACGTTAGTTGTTTTAGTAGTGGTGTATCTGCCTCCACCTCAACCGTTACACAACCATCTCCATGTCTTTAACCACTTCATCCATGAGTCTTATGCAGGGTCCTCCTTCTGCCTGACAACAACATCTTTTGTCCAGCGTTCAGTACATGTCTGTGCCTTACATCCCTATCTTTATTACAACATCATCTGCCAAAACCACGGTGCACAGACCGACTGTGTGACCTCATCTGTTATCACATGTACAAAAAAACCACAACATCTCGGGGCTGATCACATGATGTTACACCTCCGACTGTTTCTCAATCCACTTACTGCACAGACACTGCCCTCACTAACCTCCTGACCTTTTCTACACTGATACTACTACTACTACTACTGGTATTACTACTACGACTAGTACTACTACAACTACTACTACTATTAATAATAATAATAAAAATAATAACTTTTGTCATCATCATCATTTTTATAGTAATACATTGAGCGTTTTTAATTAAAAAATTTAATTGTTCTTAACTGACATCTTTTTGTTTTTTTCATACAGAAAAAAATTGCCTAATGTTTAGTTTCAAACTTTTCTAAATATACTAAATATTTTGAAAATCGTCAATTTTTAAATGATCATTCTCTGATTGACTTTTGTTTGTTTTGAAAGTTTTGTTTTGGTGTCAGTTGTTTATAGGATTACAGCTGGAAGCAGCAGGTGCTGTGTATCTCTAATAGGATTAGTCCTACAGACACAGAGAGACACAGACACAGAGACACTGACTGACCTTTGACATCAAGGTCTTTTACTCTCACAGCTAAGGCTAAAGTGATGACAAGCTTGTCCTCAGTCTAAATCTGCCCATCTCTGTCCTAACGTGAGGAACTCACTGAATGTGATCATTTTTAGAAACCATTATACACTGCCATCTAGCGTCTTAACTCTGAAACTACACCGTCTACCTCCTACTGGGACTGGGAAAAAATAAGATGGATTTTTTTTTTCATGCGTAATTCGTCAATTTCAAATTTCATCCTTATTATACACTTTCAAAATAAAATGCGACTAGACGAGATTTTAGGATCGTAGCATAAATTTCCTAATTTTTTACTAAAATATAGAATCATTATTAAATAAATACCATAAAATGTTACGATGGTGTGTCCATTTTTCTGTGTGTGCATTATCTTTATCGATTTTTTGCACAGAGCTTATTTTGGGAGGTAACGTTTCCAAGTATAAAAAATGTCCAGTAGGTGGCAATGTAATGCAACACAGAAGAAGCCACCATTTACTATCGCCTAAAGAGAATTATTTTCTTACTTGACCTCGGGTTTATCTATTTTTTATTTTGTGTTTCAAATGTCTAAAATAATAATAGTAATTTTGATAATATTTTGTATTATTTAAACACCAGTTTATTTATTGTTGCTGTTAATGCCAACAATATTGTTTTTGCAACTTTTTTATAGTCACTTCTTTGACTTGTCTGCCTACAAACCTTTAAACATTTTAGTCAACAATATTTTTAGCAACTTTATAATTCTTTTAGTCTCTCAGTTTTTTAAATAATAATAATAATAACAACATCAAAATACATCGGTAATTTAATGATAATGGTGTTATTATCAATATTAACGGTTATAACACCAGTTTCTAACATCAGTTCTAGATTCTAGAGTTCACGGTAGTAAAACTGTAACCTAATAAAAATGCACAGTGTTCTTTCTGTTAACGCTGATAACGACTATCTTGGCCGGGACCGTGTGGGCCCGTGACAGGGTCGTGTACTACTTCAGGCTCTAGTTTTTGTGGTGAGGTCCCGGCTGATAGCACGAGCACCATGTCCTGTCTACTCCTCTCCTATTGGCTGTTGGGTCGAGTGTCTGTTGTCTGATTGGAGGAGATGTCAGCAGCATTCGCTGCCCACGAGTGCTGCGCATGAACTGCATGCACGCTTGTTTTTCTCCCCACTTGTGTTTTTGTAGTTGGTTTTACACGCTCACTCTTTCAGTTATTACGGTAAAGTTTTGTTTTTGGGAAATGATGACCTTGGGAGTGGAAATGTTTGAGAAAGTAACAAGTATTTTTAAACTTTTAAGACATTTAAACAAATACGGGGAGGAAGGGACATTAATACGCTGTATATTTTGTTTTTTGTTTTTATTTTTAATTTTCCTACCAAAATGTATTTATAATATGTTTGTATTAAATTATGGATGATATACATTTTGAACATAAACATAAAGTTTATGTTTGGTATGGGACTAGACAAAGCAAATAATGAAAATAATGATCTCTAAATAATATAGTAAAAATAATTTGATAAATAAAAATACAATTTTCCTAACCACTAAATAATTTGTAAAAATATTTTT